GCTGCGTGACCCATCAGAGCTGTCATTCAATGGGAGGTGACAGAGTTCCCCTGTTGACTGCCACGTCCAGGACTTTTTTTATCTGTCCTTGTAGTCTTCTGTAGACCTGTAGGTGGGGTTTTGGTAGTACAAATTTGCACCATTTTATCCAAGCTAGCTGGAGTTCTAGCTGTCCTGTTTATTTGACGTAGGGTTCAGTACAGATAAAGGTAGTATAAAGTTACCAAACTCCAGCTTTATGCTGTTACCAAACATGGTTTTGTTATGTGACTTGCTTCCAGGAAATCTCTAGTTTTACACATTTGTCCCTTTCTGTAGCAAAAGACCATATCATGTAAGACCTTTCATAAAGGGACAGCAGCTGCATCATAACCTTTCATACCATTCTTAGACAGGCATGAAAATGCAAGGCAGTTACATACAGCTCAACCTGCCATGACTGCATCTGTCAAAATGTGCCTCCTCACCTGCCTACATCCATCAGTCTTCTATCATAAAGTTTGGAAGGTTTACGTTTTGAAGGATGAGAGTTTCAATTTCTGTTACGGTAGAAGTGATCTGTGTAGATGCCTTCTTAGAACGTGGTCCTCAGTGGGGCCTCTAAGCCGTTCCAGATACAGAAAAGAGTGCATTCGGCTTTCTGATGTGGATCCTGTTTCCAGCTGAGGAGGTAACTAGACAGATTATTGGGGCCATGGCAAACAAAGAATTAATACTTATTGTGGGTTATAGGAAAGCTTGGTGTGTGGAAGACAATCTCTTTGTTGACAAAGGAGAAAGAATAAATGGAGGAAGGCCACAAAACGCAACAAAAAAGTTTTCTGAGATGTTACCTTTCTTGTTTGGGATGCCAATACCTCGTTTTTTGGTTTATTGCAGGGCATTTGCAGGTCCCACTCTAGGAGGATTTCTAAATGAAAAGCTGGGTTTTGAATGGGCTGCAGCTATCCAAGGAGGATGGACGCTGTTAAGTGTAAGTAATTTGATATTTTTTGCTTTTTATATCTGTTGCAATTATGAATGTTGCATACGATTATTATTATTAAAATCATAACTGACTGTTTCCTCAAAGGGTCTTGCAACTGGAATATTCTATATCACTGAGGCAACAAGGAGAAGGTATGCTGAGATATCTATTCTGTATTTTACCTGCAGCCATATAAAGCAAACCTTTGAAAGCTGTGCTTCCACTTTTTCCTCACTACTTGATAATAAATGACAAGATGAGCAGTAAAAATATTGCTTAAAGATTTTGTATACTTTCCTGAATCCCTACTGACCTAAACAGAGACCTAAACCAGGCAATGCCTGTTCTATGCAAGCAACTGGACTGCAGCATTAACAAGGAAACTCTACCAATGGTTCCTCCGGCAGGGTGTCTGTGACCTGGAATTGACTGGATGGTCACATCCAGATAGTAGTGGTCAACAAATTGATGTCTAGATGGAGATCAGTGATGAGTGGTGTCCCTCAGGGGTCTGTACTGGGACCAGTACTGTTTAATACCTTTACTAATGGCATAGACAGTGGGATCAAGTGTACCCTCAGCAAATTTGCAAGTGACACCAGGCTGACTGGTGTGGTTGACATGCCTGAGGGATGGGATGCCATTCAGAGGGACTGAGACAAGCTTGAGAAGTGGGCCCATGTGAACCTCATCAAGTCCTGCACCTGGGTCGGTGTAACCCTGGTGTCAATATAGGCTGGGGGATGAAGAGGTTGAGAGCAGCCCTGCAGAGAAGGAATTGGGGGTACTGGTGGATGAAAAGCTGAACATGAGCCAGCAATATGTGCTTGCAGCCCAGAAAGCCAACCGTATCTTGGGCTGCATCAAAAGAGGCGTCGCCGGCCGGTCCAGGGAGGTGATTCTGCCCCTCTACTCTGCTCTCAGGAGACCCCACCTGTGTTCAGCTCTGGGGCCCCCAACATAAGAAGGACATGGAGCTATTGGAGCAGGTCCAGAGGACAACCATGAAAATGATCTGAGGGCTGGAGCACTTATTTCGTCATAGGAGAGTTGGGGCTGTTATCCTGGAGAAAGCTCTAGGGAGACCTTATTGCAGCCTATCAGTACTTAAAGGAGACTTTTAAGAAAGATGAGGACAAACTTTTTAGCAGAGCTTGTTGCAGTAGGACAAGGTAATGATTTTAAACTAAAAGAGAATAGATTCAGACTAGGTATGAGGAAGGAATTTTTTATGATGAAGATGGTGAAACACTGGAACAGGTTGCCCAGAGAGATAGTAGATGCCCCATCACTGGAAAAATTCAAGGTCAGGTTGGGTGGGGCTCTGAGCAACCTGATACACCTGAAGATGTCCCTGCCTATTGCAGGGGATTTGGACTAGATGACCTTTAAAGGTCCCTTCCAAACTAAACCATTCTGTGAAGTGATAGATGTGAAAGCAATAGTGCGTGGTTCTGTGCAATAGTGTGGAACCAAACCCAGTGATCCATGTAATGTGTGGCTTTTTTGCTATACTATTTGGTATTGCATTGAAGTATCTAGAGAATGTTAAACCTGTTTCTTCCCTCCTGTTCTTTTCCTTGTGCAAACAGTTCCAGTTCCAGCCTGCCAAATCCTCCTGGTAGTAATGAAGAAAGAACTCATCTGATGGGCAGTGAAACATAGCCAGACATACTTTCAATTCTCCATTTACTATTGTGGTTTAACCTGGTGTTGAGATGAGTGGACGTAACAGTGTTTTGTTATTCTGGAGCTGGGATACATGATCCCTTAGTCAACAACCAGTTGTTGTTTAGTTGTAGCTGCATTACTGTTTTGAAACACTAAACACTGACTGCCTTTGTTTTGGAAGTTCTCTTATGGATTGGCTGAAGTGATGAGTAACCCTCAGATGTCAGCCTGTTTAATTGCACTTCATGTACAGTGCACCACTGTATGTGAAGAGGTGTGTTTTCAAATGGCTGGTTTCTACACTTGAGCCTGCTGTGCATTGTTCTTGGGTAAAGCTACTATTTTGCTACCATAATTTTCTGTATTTTTTTAAAGAAAGTTCACTGTCTTGTAATACTTTAACTGATAACAGCAAAGGTTGAAACAGAATTTGAAATGACAAAGCATTAAGCACAATACTGTTTTCAATAAAGGAACTTTTTTTCCGAAGTTTTCTGAATTTCTTAGATAACAAGAGTCTAAGAGACTTTGTGTCTGCCAACACTTGTATCATCTCGAAATTGCCTGAAAATGGGAGGCAAAGGTAATGAAGAGAAGAGTTAGCATCTCCACACAGAACTAACTGATCTTCAGTCCCGGAGGAGGCTTGGCATCATGTGTGTATGTATAGATGCACAAACTCATTATGTATGTTTGTATTATATATGAAGACTCAGCTCAGTGCATGTGGGATCTGTTTTCCTAGTAAATGCCAGCTGGAGTATTTGTACTAATTGCCTCTGCAACAGTAAATCTATCAAAAGTCTAGGGCTAGTATTTTCCACCAATGCGGGGGGGGGGAAATCTCCTCACCTCATCCAGATACTTGGCAAAACAAGGCAAGAGGACCTGACACAAGGACATTCCTGGCAAACTCACACTAGACTTCTTGACCTCGGTTGTGGCAAAAGTCTTGTAATTTGTCCTTGAGCCCAGAACTGGATCCTAGAAGGGGTTCTCTATGGTACTCATTTTTCCATAAATAAGAAAAATGTTCTAGTCCTAGCAATTCCCAATCAGTTTTTCTTTTGAATAACTACTGGAATTTACGTAAGAAATACTTCTTTCTCTGCCCGAGCCCCTTTCGGAGCGCTAGCAAGAAAAACTGCATCAGGATACCAAAGGGCAGGGTTCCCCTGGGAACGTTGTGACAATGGGTCCTGTTCTTTTTGTATCAAGTGTTAGATTTTACTGAAACCGGGAATGTACACCTCAACCTGTTATGGAGTTTTGACTCCTGCCGGTGTTGATGGTGAGGCAGGTGAAAAGGAGCTGAGAGGACTAGAGGTAGATGCAAGGTGCACAAGATACAGATCTGTAGACGTGAGTGTTCTCCTTGTGGAATGACTTGTTCACTTATTGTCTGGTGCTGTTAGGACTCCTAAGTGGCCGGGATTACCAGAAGGAGCACAAATGCCATTGGAATTCATGGGCTCCCCTGCAATGCATGAACTTCACCAGAACTCCAGTAGAAACTCGACAGGCTTAACTAACCCCTCTAATTTTCTGGCAAGTCATCATCTTCCCTCTTTGTTCTTTCACGTACACAATGGAGACAAAAGAAACCTGGAGACGAAGCCTGGTTTCCAGGTTTGTTGTTACAAGTATGTTCTCCTGCCATGATTTTCCAGAGGTCCTGGCCACAAGCAGAGCAGTGGGATCTCCTATGGGAAACTTGGCAACGGCTTGGCTAGCGCTGTGCTTGCCTCATGCGGTGGCAGGTCTGAATGTGCATCGGGTGTTACCAACAGTTGTGCAATCTGGGACGCTGTGGTAAGCAGGGACTGTGCCGGATTCGCCAAACTACGCTCGGCTAGATCGGAGCAGCCCTGAGCTGGGCTGGCACCAGCAGTGCCCGTGCGGCAGCACCGAGCTCGGGGCTGGCCACCTGCCTCCTGCAGCCCTGCCTGCACCCGCACCCTCGAGTTTGGGCAGGAATGTGTCCGTGCTGGTCTTTGCTGAGACTTCCCAACCTCTGGCTTGTTTTCCTGCTCAGACCTGGGCTTGCCTTGAGCTGCGTTACTGCAGCAACGCCACACCTGAATGATTCGCTGATCGGGCGGGCGATGCCTTTCTTCAGCTGCAGCTGTGTGGTGACTTCTCCGTGAGTTCTGTGCTGATTGAGCAAGGCAGAATTGCCCAATGCTGGCGGCACTTCTGCCTTTCATGTTGCGAGACTTTCCCGGCAGGCTGATTGCATCTCCTGGTGTTGGCTTTCTGCCACTCTGGGGAATTCCCAGGTCTCAGGCAAGATTTCCTCTTTTAAAGCCCCCTGCCTTTGCTCGCCCCTGTCCTCCCCTTGGGTGACTTCCAGGCTGCAGACATGGGGCTTCCTAAAGCTGGTGCCTCTGCTCTGCTTTTGGTGCTGTCTGCTCTGGAGGCCAGTGCCCTGGACAGCTATGTCGCAGCTGTCTATGAGCACAACGTGGTCTTGTCAGAGGACACTGAAGTGCCGGTTTCTCCTGCGGAGGCCTTGATGCTGATGGAAAAAAATATGGCAATTTTGGAAGTGGCCGTCAAAGAAGCAGCCAGACAGGTATTATGGCAGAGTTAGAGACATTCATTTTGGTAAATACTGACCATTTCTTCATTTTCTTAATGGTGTTTTTTGGGGTTGTATGTTGGTACCAGGGTGCCCATATCATTGTGACTCCTGAAGATGGCATATACGGCTGGGTCTTCACAAGGGAAACGATATACCCTTATCTTGAGGATATCCCAGACCCACGGGTAGACTGGATTCCATGTGCTGATCCTGGAAGGTATTGTCCCTGCTGCACATGGGGGAACAGTCAAATGGGAAAGACAGTCTACCTTTAGGAGTGGTTGTTGATAGTTTTAAATGTCTTGGAACAACTACTGTGAAACGACAGGTTACGCAGTATGTAGTTGCCATAAAGAGCTTCAGACAACTTCCTTAATAATTTTTCTGTTTTTTCTTTCTGTAATAATTTTGATTTTAGTTAGTATACTCATAAAGGTTGAGATTCATTTAGAAGAAAAGCAAAAACTTACAGAATCTGCGTTTCAGTAATATATTCCATGCATGTTGTAGACAATGGTTAAGATACAGGAATATTAGGAATATTTGTGAATAAAATAACAGCTACCATTGAAAGGATATACTGCACAGTTTCAAATTTATATTTTTGCATCACGATGTAGTAGCCTTTTTATTCTGTTGTTTTCCTTAATAAATTGCACCATTTTTTGAAGCTGCAGTATTTGCCAAAAGACAACAAAGTGCACCATAGAAGAAACAAATCCTAAGCTACCTCAGCACAGCAGCCAAATGGAGAGCTGAAGCAGAGCAGCTGAGATTAGCCCATGTCTTGGTATAACATCAATGCTGTGCCACATGCTGGCAGCAGAATGGAGACTTGAAGGTGCAAAGGTTTGCTTTCACGGCATGGAAACTCCTGTGTTCCACATTTCATTAGTGTGGGGTGAAGCCAGAGTTTCACTACACTGAGCTTTGAAGCACAAAACTGCTGCCTTCTGTTGAGTAACAGAAAACGACAGTCTTGTATTAGACATGACTAACTTAAACCTGTCATTCTTGCGATCTGTAGTCTTTGTGTTGGCGTTTTTATGGATTGACTGGTTTTGATGTTTTGTTTACTTCCTTCCTTCCCTGCTGTTTAGGTTTGCTCCCTCACCCGTGCTGGAAAGACTGAGCTGTCTGGCAAGGAATAACTCCATCTATGTGGTTGCGAATATGGGAGACAAGAAGCCGTGTAATTCCAGTGATCCAGGGTGCCCAAGTGATGGTCGCTATCAGTACAATACCAACGTTGTCTTTGACTCAGAAGGGAAACTGGTGGCTCGTTATCACAAGGTAAGAGGATTTTACAGTGTTGAGGAAGGGCTTGATCCTCGGGGGATTAAAGATGTGAAACAGAAGCTGCTTCCCAGGCTTACACGTATTTGTACTTAGAGTTGTTGCAGAGCAGGTGTCGGAGGGCAGGTGAAAGCCACTGCCTTAAGATACCTTCTGCTGTTCTGAATTTAATAGCAAGTAATTAAATGAAATTAATTAAAACTCCATAAGACCTCTATTTTTACTGCTTCTCAATAGGAGGTGACAAGCGAAATCTTAAAACATTAATATCCTAAACTCTTGCTAACTATATACAAATCCCCTTCACTAGTATAAATCAACCACTGAGATTTGTGCTTGACTCCTCTTGCACTCGTATGAATTCTCGTTTTTGAAATCAAGATATAGTGTGTTCACAAAACATATTCTCCATTACTTGTATTTAAGTGAGTGTTATATTCAATATTAGTCTGATTTAAATGGTTTGATTCCTTTTCTGATCCTTTTTTTCACCATTCCTTCCTTTCCATGAACAGTACAACCTTTTTGTGACAGAGAAACAGTTTAATTACCCCAAGGATCCAGAATTTGTGACTTTCAATACATCCTTTGGCTACTTTAGCATCTTCACTTGTGCAGACATACTCTATCATGACCCAGCTGTGGTCTTGGCAAGCAGATTTCAGGTTGACACCATTCTGTTCCCAACCGCTTGGGGTAACACTCTCCCACTGCTGTCAGCGGTCCAGTTTCACTCAGCATGGGCCATGGGAATGGGCGTCAACTTTCTTTCAGCAAATACACACAATTCTACTTTCAATATGACAGGTAATGTAATATTTCTCTAATTGATCTTGCTCACGTGGGCAAAATCTGTATTTATGTAGTGCAGTTGATCTGAGCAGAAATTCCCATCAGCTTTAGGCATGCATGCATATGTCAGCAGGATTAGGACAAGAGAACTTGTACAGATAAAAAGAAAATAAAAATGTGATATGTAAAAACTCAGAAATGCTTAATTTGACTAGAACGCTTTTAGTTATTTGTTAAATGATCAGTCCTGAGAGTTTACGTATGTGATTCTTCCTCTTCTGACCCTGGTGTTTATCGATGTTTTGGTCATGTGGTGGTCCAAACCCTTTTTCTCCAGTAGGTGGAAACCTAACTCTGAGAAATGCGCTTGTGACTCCCGCAAACAGTACTTCTGGGCTGGAGACCTTGTGTCAGGTTTTCTCTGCAGGCTCAGTTTTCACTGTATGTTTTTCCCGAGCAGATGCTAGAAGTCAAGCACAGGTTTTGTAGGCATGTGCTTGCAGAACTGAGAAACTTACTGGTGTTGCTAAAATGTAGCCCTAAACTTTGCCTTCCAAATAAAAGCGGATACAGGCCATTCCTTTAGTTCTCAGTCGTTGATGATGACCCTATGTCATACAACTCATGTTCTTTATGGATATGGGCTTTAAAGATTTATGTATTTATGTAAAGAGCTTGCATAAAGATGTGACTTTTGGTAATATCTTTTCCTTATGGAATTTTTTTGACTTGACAGTGTTACCATTCATTTTAATCAGAAATACCGATATTTAATGCAGCTAAACTCAATGAGGAATGTATAGCTTCAGCCACTGAAGTCATATATAATGGCATATGATTGGCACACTAATCTCATCACAATACATGAAACATCAGAGTTTGGTCTGCTTTCCACTGATTGCAAAAAGCATAGGTCAGCAGTGTAGTCTGTGAAGACTTAATCGAGTTTCCAAACAATCTGATAAACATTAGAGTAAAATTTGGCACATATTTAGTTTGTGAAGCCTGCTTTCTTGTCCTGTATGCTTGCTTTCAGATTAAAAGCTTTCTGGTGTTATGTGTTTGCAGGGAGTGGTATTTATGCCCCAGATGGTCCAAGAGTGTATTATTACAATACAGAAACAGAAAATGGTCACCTCTTGGTGACGGAGCTGAGTTCACGCCCACGTCTCTCTCCTGGCTATCCTGCTGCTGTTAACTGGAGCCAGTATGCCAGCAGGATCAAACAGCTTCCATCAAACAACCACTATTTCAGTGGGGTCGTTTACCATGATCTCTTCTCCTTCACGGAGCTCACTGAACCCGAGGGAAGTCGTGCCATTTGCCAGCAGGACCTCTGTTGCCATCTGAATTACAAGATGGCAGAGAAGCAGAAAGATGACATTTATGTTCTGGGTGCCTTTGATGGGCTACATGTTGTTGAAGGAGAGTATTATTTGCAGGTAAAGGTTTTCTGTTCTTGTTTGGACACTGGGAAGGCTGCAATACTCTCTTTGCTGCCTGATTGCATTTGTCTCATTTTTGATTGAGGGGGTTTAAGAGGAGGCATTTTTTAGGCCACTCTGAAAACATTTGCTTTCTTCGTGATGTGTTTCGACTTCATTAGGGCTGTTGATCCTATTTTTCTGTCTATGTTATAGACGGTGAAAATGAAGACCGAGTTGACCCTGTGCTATAATGCTTCAAGGAGGTTTCTGTATATGTGTACAAAAGGGAGAGGAGATGGTAGAGTTCTTCCTGTCTTCATAGGGATGCTCTTGTCACGACTGAGAGCTGTTTTCTGCTTGGTGGTTTGTACCACTGTGCTGATGTGATTCTCTAATGTGCAGTTATCTAACAAAATTAAGAAACTAGATACAGATGTAACCTTTGTATTCACATGGCTTATCAGTGTGTTGATTCTTTTAAATTTCACTGTTAGGCTTTTTTTACTGTGCTGTATTTTTATATCTTTTCTCTGTATCTTTAGAGCATTCCCACTAGAGTAGGCAAATAAGTATGGCTTCAGTTTCTTAGAAAACTCAGCCGGAGCTGAAGTAACTTCCTTAGATAACTAACTATTCCATATCTGTGACTAAATGTATATTTGTGAATGTACACATAAATTATAAACACACCTGTGCATACACAGACACAGTGCTTTGTTGCGGTGCTGGCAAAGAACTGTCTTTTTACAAAGTTTCAAGTGCCACTCACGGATCCTCTTGGCCTAAATAAATGAGTAGATGTATTGGATCATTTCTTCATCATGACAGCTTTTGTTGTAATCGAATCCAGCTCTTGATTGTTGAAAGCTCAGTGGTGTTTCACCTTTTCTGTATCCTTCTCCCCGCAGATATGCACGCTGCTCAAGTGCAAGAGCACAGACCTGAGCACGTGTGGGCAGCCGGTGGAGACGGCGCAGACCAAGTTTGAGATGTTCTCCCTCAGCGGCACGTTTGGCACAAACTACGTCTTTCCAGAAGTCTTGTACAGTGGGGTGCAGCTGGCCCCCGGGGAGTTCGAGGTAATGGGGCACCCTTGTGAGTTGTCAGACTTGTAACACAAATGGTCAAAAAGCCACTACTAGACACAGGAGCAACTTGGGAGTTTCAATAACTGGCTTGAGTTCAAGGCAGCTTTATTTCTGCATTATTTTCCTGGTTACATTCATACTACACGTCCATGTTGTGGGTTCCCTTCTTCCCTGTCCCCCTAAATCCTCTAGAAGAAGATATGGCTCAAGACAGAAGTGTAGTTTTTCTCAGACTTCGTGGTAGCTCCAGGTGAGCTACTGCATCTTTCAACTAGATCGACATTAATGGATATGTTATTTTGTGTTTGTCATACAATAGTACTGCTTTGCTGATGCTCCTGTTTATTTCACTCTTCCATAACTAGGTGCTAACTGATGGACGTCTGATAAGTCGGACTACTACATCAAAGCCAGTTTTGAGTGTAACACTCTTTGGGAGGTGGTATGAAAAGGACCCTCCACACACAGAGCAAACTTCACCATGATTTCACTGCAGATCCTTTAAGATCTCATCTGCTTGTTTCTGTAACACTAATTCATCATAATTAATCATAATGTTAATTAGTGTTAATGTTAATACCCATAATTATGGCATTCTGTTTCTCAAGTTGCCTTATCTAACAGCATAGTCATTGTACATTGATTTGTTGACTTGATTTTGCAACAAAAATAAATTACTCTACTGGGCAGTTCTGTGTATGTTTTATATGATAGCATTGGTCGATCATAGGCTTGACCTTGACCCTGGAGACAATAGAAAATAAATTCCTCTGACTTTAGTGGTGTAGAGTTCAGGCACATAGCAGGGGGTTGTGGCCCAATAACAACTCATTCTTAATTCATTGAAATTTTTCGTGGAGTATTAGAAGTCATTTCCACAACACTGTTCTGCCCCATCTCTGAACTTTTCTAAACCAGAGATTAACAGAACCTTTGAAGGCCAATGGTTGAACTTCTATCATTTGCTTTGAAAAAGAAAACAAACCTTGAAACACCGTTGCTTCAAAACCAGTTGTTCAGCTCAGCGCACAGTGTAATGTGTTATCATGCCATGCCCTAACTTACAGTTGGAGGAGTCTACTTGAATATTTCTGGCCGCAGTTTTAGGGTTTGGAAAATTTCCTTTCCACAAAACTATTGACAACCGCATCACCTTTTTCAAGCAGTCAGGTAAGTCCATATCAAAAATTCTCCAAGTGAGCAATTTTGCAGGTGTATACCTGTCTTCCCGTGAAGTGATTGCTTTCGCTGGTGTGAGGGAGAGTCAGGACTGTGCAGACACATGTTGGGAAGGGCTAGGGAACAGCTTGAACAGAGTGAATGCACTGGCACGTGCGTGGGAGCAGACCCTGCAGACTGTGCTTTCTAAGCAAGTGGACTCGATTACTTTGTGTGGCACAGCTGAGATTTCCATATGCAGTTAATTCTGTTGTTTGTTCTGCAGGTTTGTTTCGAAATAAAAACATTGTTCACATTTAATCTGACCAAAGTCATAAAAAATAGACACGCAGGATGCAAAATACATTTTTTTACAACATTTTAATCTGTAAACGTATTAAATTGTTAACCTTTACCACTCATGTAATAGGAGTAATGGAAAAGCTCTACTTGCTTGTGGAAAAACTACATCTGTGCCCTAGGATGTGGTGTCCTGTTACAGCGAAGCGACACAACTCTGTGCTGTTGACAAAAATGAGCAGCCTCTGATCTCCTCAGCCCTGCCCGCGTGCCCTCAGTGCTTGGCAGTGATTGCATGGTTGCAGGTGTGACCCTTCCCACGGGCTTCTCCGCAGCAAGATTAACCTGTCGAATAAGGAGCAGTCTTCCTTCCACGCAGTCTCTCTTGGCACAAGAAAAGGAGCAGGACCAGGACCTGAAGACAGGCTACCTCCACAGCTAAGCTGATTCAGCATCGAATTGCATCCTGTTTCACAAAAGTAAGTCCTCAGAT